TGGCGGTCAGGCGGCAGCGTGGCGGTCAGGCGGCAGCGGTGGCGGTGAGGTTACGAGAGAAAGTCTGTACTCTGTAAAGAAGTTTCGAGGACACAATTTTTTGAATTTTTTTACTTTTAGCTGTTTTTTTTTTTATGATGAAGTGGGGGGACGGTCCGGATTAAATGAGGGTGTGCTCGTTAGGTGGATGTATTAGACCTGGCAAACGGGCGGGCGGGCGGGTACTGACCGGGTAGAAACGGGTCACGGGTGAGACAGGCACGGATCCACGGATAAATTTTTTGTACGGATAATCATACGCATTACTGTACCGTCCGTACGGTCAACCGCGGGTCAACCGCATAAAATGACATTTCGTGATTTTTTTTCCAGATTTTTGTTATTTTTTCACTGTTTTTGTTATTCAAATTTCCCAATCGTGGGTGCCTCCTGCCGGCGTGGGTAAGTTGTGAGGGAGTCGTAAGCGTTCGTAGCTGCGTGGGACTGTCTGAGAAGAGAGTTGAGAGTGTACTGGGAGCTACCATTTGCCGACGACAGTGAGCTCTGACCGTGGCTGCGTCGTTGCGTTTGACTTCTACGTGAGTGAGCTATGAGGGAGCCGTGAGTCCCGTGACCGTGCTGGTGTGCAGTGCTGTGCATGCGTGAGGAACTCAGAAGAGAGTTGAGAGTGTTTGGGAGCGCTGTTCGTCGGCACCGTGGCTGCTTCTGCAGTGCTGTGCGCGTGAGAGAATTCAGAGAAGAGAGTTGGAGGTTTCCGGCTCGGGAGCTATTGTCGTCGGCACCGTGGCTGCTTCCTGCCTGATGAGCTGTGAGAGGGCCGTGAGTCGGTGAGTGTGCTGCTGTGGGTTCGTCGGCACCGTGGCTGCTACGGCCGGTGCTATGTGTTATGTGATATGTGTCAGTGTGTGGTTGCTTTCACTTTCAGTTTGAGTGTTTCATGTTGACACTGACTTAGAAATTAGGGTTTGTTTTCATTTGAATATAGAATATTGTGTAAAAATTATATTGTATTTTTTTTTAAATCACTTGTGGGTACCCGCGGGTGTACCCGACCCACCCGCAAATTTCACGAGAAGTCAGATACGGGTCGCATTAGAACGGGTATATTATAGAGGGACTGTATCCACCAATTAGGTGTGGATACCCGTTTACCCGTGGGTACGGGTCATGAATTGCCAAGTCTAGTATGTATTGGAATTAAATAGGATTTATTGGTTGGTAAATATTTTCTGAATATTAAATGTATTATAGATATCGTACTGTAAATTAATTAATTAACTTTTTAAACTTAATATTTTTAGGGAGGTGAAAATTTTTCATTATTTTTGTAAAGTTTTTCATTAAGTTTGAAGGGTGAGGCTATTTATATTGGTTTTAAATAAAGGAATATATTACCAAAATATTTCCATAAATTAGATTTATTATCTATAGGCCCCAGTTAAATCCAATGATGTAACACAACAAACCAGCCACGGCCTCCCATTTAAATACTTAGAGGAGACTAACGTAACAACTCAACCATGACCTCCACTAAATCTTTAGGGGAGACTGATGTAGCAATCCATTAACACGACGACCCACTTAAATCATATATGCTCAGATGGAGAATCGAATCTAAGACCATGCACCTATCCACATATCTCTCTAATTCATTATAACCATCCAAGCTATCCACGAATGAATTATCACATCAGTTATATAAATTAGTTGTATATATAGTACCACTCTTCTCTTATTATACCAATTTACTACATGAGCGTACATTAAACCCACGACTACACAAAAATTTGATATATATAGGTGACAAAACCGACGAACCCTTGGCGGGAAACAATTCTCTGTTAGTAGGCAAAACTTTAACCATATAGGTGAGTTATCTATAGGTCTGTGTTTCAATCTCACAAAGTGGTCATTACCACATCCGTGACTTACTTGACCAATTGGGCTTGTAAGGTATTCAATAGATCTCAATGATGAGTTGAGATACTTTTAAACTAACATAGTATCCGATTAAAAAAAAAAAGAGTTAAACTATGCATTTCCTTCTAAATAAAATGTTTCATCCGAGGAAGAAATTATTTTCAGAAAATTAGAATAAATAGATTACAATAAATAAAACATAAAAGTTAGTGAGGCATGGTACAAGAGGAAATTTCCATTTGAGGGACTACATACAATAGAAGTTGATGGGCACTCAATTCAAGTGTAAATTCCCTTAGCAAACAAACAATGGTTTGAGTCTCCATTTTTCATCATTGATTGACACCTCTTAACATTCAAGCAAACCACCACTCTCAAATCATGATCAATCTTTTACTTGGAATTTTTTACATCAAAACACACCTTTTTTTTTAAATAATAATAATTTTTTTTTGTGAATAAGATTTATTCAAGATTTTGCTTAATCTTTTTTAAAATCTATGGAAGTATTCTATGGCTGTTTATTTAACAATGATGTAAATATTTTATAAAAGATGTGATAATTATCTTAATAGTATAATTATATAATTTGTCATTTTAAGATACATATATATTGTATTAGATCATTTGAAATTAAAATTTTTGAATAAAATATCAATTGTATAAGGGTTTTTTTTATAGTAAAATCCAGTGTGTTTAGCCTTTTTGTGTGGCATCCACTAGTTTGGCATTTTTTTGTAGTGACCACCGAGTTTCATAAATACAACCCTAGCCTTGTGTTTTGCATTTTTTTTGTAAACACTCGTTGGTTTTATGAATACAACACTTATTAGTTATCTTATGTGTTTGGATTTTTTTGTAATGAGCAGCTGATTTCAAATATACAGTTCTTGTTGGAATATTTATTAAATTGAATGAAAGTGGTGTGTGTGAGTTGAGAATTAAAAGGATGAAGGTTAGTGGACTAATGGAGAAGTTTTAAGAATTAGAAAGTGGAAAGTGGAAAAAATGGTGGAAATTAAATGTTTTGTCCATCTTGAGTAGTATAAATAGGTGTTCTTCCTCTCATTTCAAACCAAAAATAAAAAATAAAAATTGGAGATCTTTCAATCTCTTATTTTTCTTCTAGTTTTTAAGGGTTTTTTTTTTTTTTTTTTTTTTTTGTTAGAGTTAAGGCATTATTCAGTTCTGTTAGAATAGAAGAGTGGTTGTTTTCTTGCTATTCATCTGTCCCGTCATGCACCAAAAGTTGTGGAATTTGCAGCTCCTTTACTTTAAAGTATGGGATTCACTGCTTTCGCTCTTCAAATCTTATGTCGAGAAAGCAATCTCTGTTAACACACTTAAACTTGACTCCCGATTCATACAGCTTCATCGCATTTGGTATATTTACAATAACTCCCTTGGACTTTTTCTCTAATGGGTAGCTTTTCAAAAGTACAGTTCTACCAAATCTCTGAAATGTAGAACTTTTATCGTCTCGTCGGGTATGCTCTTGATCGTGTCTTCGTCAAAGAACTTAGGACAAAGATGCTTAAAGGGAGTAGATTCAAGATCAAGGTTGTCGAGAGCTAATTTGTATATTTCATCTAAGACATAGTATGGAAGTTGATTTTCGAGTAATTGTATGTCTAGGTATATGTCAAAGTACATTTTTGGTCTATCTAAATAAAAATCATGCTCATCCTTATGTTTTCTAATGAAGAGCTCCAAGATGAATAAAGCATCATAAGACTTGACCTAATTTCTCCTAATTCACTCAACATTCAGAAATTCAATCTCAAAAGTTAACCAAAAAGATGTAGAGGTTTGACATTTTGACACATAAGTGAACATGCATTCAGAGATAGAGGCCAATAGCCAGGTTACCATAAATTATCAGTTTTTTTCCAGGAAACATAATTGGGATTAATTTTTTCTTTTGACCTAATTTCTTCTAATTCACTCAACATTTCATGTTCTGATGAAATTAAAGGTGCAGGACAAGGAACAAGACTTGTTAGGTGGTCTTCGAGCTCATGAGCTCCCACAACTGAGAGAATTTGCGATTTCCAGAAGCGGTAATTGTCTCTATAGTTGTCTCTAGTCAGCTTTGGAGTGACGACCTAAAGGCTTGATTGAAATGCTGAATTGAAGGAGTTGGATGAGCTCTGAATCATCTTGTTAGAATTTTTCCAAACGGATTTGAATCTAAGATCGTTGCCATTGAACGTGAGTCGAAGGGTCTGATACCATGTGAACTTTGTGATTTAGGGAGTTAAAAGAGAGGACCGAAAAATAAAAGAAACAAATCTCTAATACTTTGATTGAGAAAAAATTGATTACAAGATATAGGGAGTACAGACTTTATATGTTTTCAGTCAGTTAAACAGTAGCAGCAAGCAAAGAGCGTGAAGGAGAAACTAACTTTGCACAAACCATATAGCTTAAAACGACATCGGTTTAGGCAAATTACCAACAGGTCTTAGTGCTTTGATTACTGACATTTCAGTCCAGACACTTTGGTTCACAATGCATGTATCGTGCCTGGTTTATTATTTTTTTAAACCAATGATCACAATAACCTTGGATTCATTTGTCGTGGATCAAAATGATTGTAAGGAATTAAGAACACGAATATAAAATGAAAATATTCAATGAAACAAATGCATTTGAACCTGAATATTTTGGCCGGAAATTAATAATAGTTGCGTGGTCGACAGCACCAGAGTTCCTCCTCCCAAGTCATCTTCATTGTGGCAGAAATTTACGTTCAATCCAAGAGTAACCCAAGTGACTAAAGTTAAAGTTGACCCCATATATACATTTTTAAGAACTGTTGTAAAAAAACCAAATTTAACGACTTGAACTTGGTTATGAGCTTCACATTCCAGTAAATTAAGTTATTATCAACGTAAATCAAGTGGGATCCAAGAAGAAAATATGTTCTGATGAGATAATGATATAGCCCCTTCCACAGATGCTTGGGATCAAGTGTTGTCAAAAAGCCTAATTTAAGGACTTCAACTAGGCAGTGAGTCAGTGACTAATGAGTTCGGCATTTTAGCAATATAATTTTTTTTTTTTAAAAAAGAGGTGGATCACTCCATGTATAAAATTAGTGTAATTTGAGTTCAACATAACAATTTAATTCAAATATCACTCGGCTCACAAAACAGAGCAAACAGTTTGTATTACAATGAGCAGTAAAAGTACAACTGCCGCAATAGTCGCTGTGCCTCTCCAAGGATTGCTGAAATACACACTTTTCAACTTTGCCTTGCCATGGTTCCAAGGATTGCTGTAGTGTGCTTTCAATTCCCTGCAAATGGTGTAGTAACACGATTCTTCTGGATAAATTTCCTCGCAAAGTTTGTTAAACATACTCGCCACAGAAGCATTATCGCCCAACCAGTTCAAAATAATCCCCTTTCCAACAAGCAAATCCACATCTTTTTCAGTTTTAATAAGACGATCCAGTAAATCAACATAATTGCAAATCCAACCGTCTTTTGGATAGTGAACTTGTTCCAAAGCCATTATATTTCTGAGCAGAGATTCTGTCCCGTCATGCACAAAAACTTGTGGAATTTGCAGCTCCTTTACTTTAAAGTATGAGATTCGCTGCTTTCGCTCTTCAAATCTTATGTCAAGTAAGCAATCTCTGTTAACACACTTAAACTTGACTCCCGATTCATACAGCTTCACTGCATTTGGTATATTTTCAATAACTCCCTTGGACTTTTTCTCTAATGGGCAGCTTTTCAAAAGTGCAGTTCTACCCAAATCCGTGAAATGTAGAACTTTCATCATCTTGTCAGGTATGCTCTTGATCGTGTCTTCATCAAAGAACTTAGAACAAAGATGCTTAAAGGGAGTAGATTCAAGATCCAGGTTGTCAAGAGCTAATTTATATATTTCATCTAAAACAAAGTATGGAAGTTGATTTTCGAGTAATTGTATGTCTAAATGTATGTCAGAGTACATTTTTGGTCTATCTAAATAAAAATCACGCTCACCCTTATGTTTTCTAATGAAGAGCTCCAGGATGAATAAAGCATCATATGAAATCATTGTTACAAAATCAAGACTCTCAAGCTTAGAAGACACGGCATAACAATTACGAATACGGCGTTCATTATTCTTTATAAAGGTTAAAATTTCTACTTGTTTTCTGACAGATATTCGTTGAAAAAAACTTTGTAAATATATTGTTTTTCTCTTTTCCATATCAACTAATTCCTCTTTACCATGATGAAGAGGGCCTATTGAGATTAATTGAGGAGTGTAAGCTTTTTCATTTACCATGCGAAGGCGTTTAGGAACTCGATAAATACAACACTCAGGAGATGGCTCGGGTTCGAAGTTTTCTCTGATGTTAATTAGCAACCCTTTGCTCAACTTTTCATGATCTTCATCTCTAATATTAATGGAAGAACTCATCTTCGAGCTCATTGTCCTAAATATTATGACAAACACAGAATAGTAACTAACAATAAATAATAATAAGAGAAAGAAAGAAGATGAATAAGTGATGAAGCATATATGCACCTGAATAATGTGGGATCCACAGCTCACAGCCGCAGGGATGAGTTACTTATGGTGAATCTCTCCCTTCTCTATTTGTTTATTGATAATGTGTTTTCTCTTCTACTTCCACTTTCACTTCCACTTCCCCTAGCATTTGTATATTATATACACGGCCTTGATAATGTGATTCCTTTCCTCTGCATGTTAAAATCCCACAATTACAGAATTACAATCCCAATTATCAAGCTAAGCACATATACCTGATCTTTTGCTTTATCATCTGCTTTATTGCCTATTTAAAAAATGCTTTATTGCCTATTTAAAAAATGTTAATCCAACGACTTATGATGAAAGCTTGTTAAACACTCAACTGAAAGTTACAAGGGAGTGATTGTGATTCCTTTCTTGCCCATATTACAACCCCACTATTCAAGTTAAAGAACCTATATACCTCATCTTTTGCTTTTATTGTGAGCTTTAATTCAGCTACTTTTTGAACTAGAATAGAACAAATTGCAGATATCTTCAGTAAGTCCTTGTCGGCAACCTGATTTTCCGACTTTACTTCATAAATAACTTACTGATTTTCGCCTGCCAGCCAGTACTTGTATCAGAAACTCTGCCATGATCATGAAATTGAGCTTGAAATGAAGCTCTTCCTGAATTTTAAAACTGATATCCAAATTAATACCAGGTCTTAGCAGCAAAATCGACAGAGAAGTTGCCATGAGCTGACGTTAATTAAGCATTATGCTTTTCAATGTGAAACTGTTAAGTCTGTAACATAAAATGTGTCTCTTGCTATGTAATAGAATCTCATCTAGCTAAATTTGAGATTAGCTACCACAGTCACAAATGTTTAATGCCCAGAACACCATTGGTGTACATTAATATAGTTCATCATTAATGAAAAGTGTACCAGCAACAGTGAGAGTGTCATTCATTTGTTTCATTTTAAGTACACTGAGGAGATGGATTAGAAATTGAAGCAGAGTACTTATCCTCTGATTTGGGCTCTTTGAGTTACGAAGAATTGAAAGTTTCAGAGAGGTTTTGACAAGACATTTTCTTGATGGTCTTTGTTTTCCACGAAAATTAAAGAAAATTATTAGAAATAATGGATATAATACAGTGAGTCATGAGCAATACATAGCAAACATACATTATTAGGCTTACAAAGCTTTAAATAAAAAATTGAAAATACACAAGAAGGAGACAACGATTCTAATACATCAGACGACCTGCAAGATAGAAAATATAGTCTGTGTGACAGTGAGAGTCAGGAGTATAATTGCTGCAACAGTTGCTGTGCCCCTCCAGATATTGTGGAAATATACTCTTTTCAAAGTTGCCTTTGCTCTGTTCCAAGGATTGCTATAATGTTCTTTAAGTTCCTTGCAAATGTTAGGGAAGTAGGAGGACATTGCTATTGTCGTCATTCTGCAAGCGTTATTAAACAGATTTGCTACTAAAGTATTGTTGCCCAAATGATTGGTGATAACTCCCTCTCCTGCAAGCAAATCCACATCTTTTTCAGTATCAATAAGATAATCCAAAATCACATGTTTCAATCTGGAAATTCTTCTATAAAATATTTATAAAGCTTCTTTATAACTTAAGACAGTTTCCATTCACAACTAGGAAAAATATACAAAAATACATAAAAAAATAACAACAGGTAAGATCACTTGTGTTGAACTAGAGTGGTAGCAATCATTAGTGCACTTAAAAAACTGTTACCTGATCAGGTGCTCGTTTGAATGATGAATGTGGAATCAATTCATCCGCAAGTTTAATATCATTATTATATCCAAATTTCCTACGGACAGCCCATGTTATCTCAAGGCGTCCTTTTTCAATAAATAGTGCATGAAGGAAAAGAAACCCTGCCAGTGTAAGACCACGATCATTGACTCCTTCTCGCAATTTTTCTTGCACAACCCTCTTAACACCTGCTATTTCAGAAGGTTGTATGGAGAATTGAAACATTTGACCTGTTAAAACAATTATTAGGACCTTCACAAACCTCAAACACAAGATGTTACAACTTCATAAGAACTTGTATTAAACTTTGCACGAATTCAATCACAGAAACATTACACAGACAAATAATTAACCTCCCTTCCCTAAAACAAGGAAAAGACGGAAGAAGAATCAACCTGAAAATCATTCAGCTCTGCATCACTAAGAGAACCATCCCTGTCATGATCACAAAGAATAAAGATACGCTTCAAGGCTCTCACACACCGGGGCTTCAAAGCTTGTGTTTCCTGATCAAATAGAGGGCCTGTTGGATGAAGCACTGCTTTTTGCGCATAGTAGAAAACCTCGGGGATCTACAAATTGATCAAATTTAAACATCAATTTCAGAATATTTATATATCAATTCTAAAACAAATGGCAGGTTAAAATATCACAGATCATCCAACTGACTACAGAATTCATTAGAGTAATAACATATCCTTGTAGCCAGTAGCTTCAACTAGATCAATGATGCAAGAAGGTACATCAATATGCAAAGCTCATGACAAAATTAATGGCAAGAGGTGAAACTCAAAGGCCACAAAGCACATATTGAATTGTACAAGAATGCTATAACAATGCTTAAAAAATCCCACATGTATTCAACAATACAAACAGATCACTAGAACCAGAACAAAACCATATTATATCAGGTAACCCATGCAATTGTAAAATATCACTACATTAAATCCTATGAAACAACATAAAATAAAGATCAAATGAGGGCCTTGCAACATACCTGAATTTGCTTCAATGCAGAGCACTCAATGCAAGTTTCAATCTCTCGAAACTGTTGCATTATAGGCATCATTACCGTTTCCAGGCTCAATTGATGGCTCTCATCTCTTAAATCAAGCTTACAACCCACCACTATAACTGGCACTTTCACCTGATCATAAGATTACATACCCATTAAAAAAACACATACAAATGCCAAATATAAAATAATTCCCCCAAAACCAAATCCTACTCTATTTACCAACGGGTCAGGACCTTGAAACTTAAATTTTTTAACTTATAATAAGACACAAATTCACAACCATTTATCTATATCACTCAAAGGTTCAGAAAGTCTGAGTTGACAACAATAATTAATAAATATTAGAAGCTTCTTCCTGTTTTAAGTTAACATCCCAGTCCGAAACCGTGAACTAAAAAAGAAAATTAGTTTAACATAGCTTCAACAAATTTCTAAGGTAACTTCTCAACTTTTTAGCTCATAAAATGCTTTTTTTAGCAATTAGATTAGAAATTGTGACATTTAGGTAAACCTGAAATTTAAGGAGATTACAGTCAGCAGTAGGTTCCCAAAATTTTATTCGGGGCACTGCAAATCAAATGACTCTTTTCATAAGTTATTCAAAGTCTATTGTCTATTGGTTGAAGAATTAAAGTACCCCAGGTCACATTTTCAGCAAAGCAACAAAACCAGAAGCAATGCTACAGCAAATTTAAGGAAACAAAAAATTCAAACCTCTAATTGACGAAGTTCTGGAAGCCAAAGTTCACTTAATTCTTCAAGGGTCTCAGGCCGATCACACGCATAAGTAAGCACAACTGCATCAGCCCGCCTCAGTTCTTCACTCAGTCTACCTCTATCCTCCGTACTAATTTATTAAACCCCACACGCAGGAACAATTAGAAACATTCCAAATTCAACCTCAATATTATCATAACAACTGGCACAAACAAGTTCAAATCTTGACCCGTATAAAAAAGAGAGACCTTGAAGAGGTGTCGATAATGGTTATGGGCACGCGCTCGGGGTAGAATTCCTCAGGCAGACGTGTAGGCGGCAAAACCGGCAGCACATTGGCAGGAAACGAATCGGTGGCGGCAGTTACAATCAAGCTCGATTTTCCGGTAACCTTTCCTCCACAAACCACAATTCTCACGCGGGTTTTACCGCCTGGAGTTGCATTCGTAGCTGAAGCTTAAGCCATCTAACAACTGTAACAAAAAGGAATTGAAAAATAAATAGATTAACAAAGAGATTGATTATGAAATTTTATGGGGTCAAAAGTTGATTAGATGAAAGAAGTTGAAGACCAAATAACTGCAAAAATGAAGAAAGAAATTTTAAAAACTACGAAATAAAAATCGTGAAAGTTGGTTTAAATTATATGAAGCAACTGAAACCAGTAAATTATGAATAAACAAATAAATCAAAAGATTCTATGAAAAAAAAATTAGACCAAATTCAAAGGAAAAAGTAGAAGTGAACAAATAAGCTGGACTGTTCGGTGGCAAAAGCGTAAAAAACCTAACGTTTAAGAGACAGAAGAGAAGAAAAACCCTAGACGAGAGAGGGTGAGTGAGGGGTTTAGTTTGGTTTAGTTTAGAGAAGATTGCCACGGCAAAAGCGCAAATAAACATGACGTGGAGTGCTGGAAAAGCAAGAGTTGTAAAACCTCCTAAAGAGGCGGCTGTCACGCGGCGGCGGTGGCGGTGAGGTTACGAGAGAAAGTCTGTAAAGAAGTTTCGAGGACACAATTATTTTTGGGCGTTTTTTACTTTTAGCTGGTTTTTTTTTTTTTTTTTTTTTTTTTATGATGAAGTGGTTGGACGGTCCAGATTAAATGAGGATGTGCTCGTTAGGTGTATGTATTATCTTATTTTAAGATATCATATATATTGTATTAGATAATTTGAAATTAATTTTTTTTGAATAAAATATCAATTGTAAATGGGTTTTTTTTTATAGTAAAATCCCGTGTGTTTAGCCCTTTTTTGTGGCATCCACTGGTTTGTCATTTTTTTTTTTTTTTTCAGTGAGCACTCACTAGTTTCAGAAATACAATCCTATTGTATTTTTTTTTATAGTAAGCACTCGTTGGTTTCATGAATACAACACTTATTTAGTTATCTTATGTGTTTAGAATTTTGTTTGTAATGAGCATCTGATTTCAAATATACAGTTCTTATTGGAATATTTTATTAAATTGAATGAAATAAATCGAATGAAAATAGTAGTGTAAGTTGAGAATTTAAAAGGTGAAATGTTAGTAGATTAATAGAGGAAGTTTTAAGAATTAGAAAGTGACAAGATGAAAAATAATGGTGGAAATTAAATGTTTTGTCCCATCTTGAGTAGTATAAAAAGGTGATATTCCTCTCATTTTAAACACACACAAAAAAATAAAAAACCTTAAAAACTAGAAAGAAAATAAGATATTGTATTTTTTTTTTTTTTTTTGAGTTAAGACTTTATTTAATTCGTTAGAATAGAAGAGTGGTGTTTCTCTTGCTATTCATTTGTCATTATATCCTGAGAAACAGAGACTACTTAAATCCTTGTGCACCCAAGTAAATGAGGCAAATCTGCTTTAAGAAAACTGTGTGTTACATAGGCCTCGACATTCTTCCTAAGGTTATATTCTCCAGATCTCATCATATCATTCTGAAGGATTTCCTATACGTAATCAAGTTGTTGGTATTGTTAATTTTATTGTATTGTCTTTTTATTTTATTGACAGTTAATTATATTATTTTATATTAAAAAGATTTATTATTTGCGATTACTAATATAATAGTTGATTATTTTATAACAATATTTTTTTTTTATAATAGTTCTAACTCTTGTATGTTTGGTTCTTTGTGTAGTGAGCACTACATGGTTTTGGAAATATCATCAATTCAACCTACAAATTTATCAACAGCAATTCAACCTCTGAAAAAAATATATTAACCTCTCGATATTGTTGACAGATTTTATATGTTAGAATAATTGAATTTGGATTAATAGTAAAAACTTTATTTCTTTGTAAATTTAAATAAAATAACCTAGGCCATGTTTGGCTTATTATTTTTATCCCTATTTCCAATCCTATTCTCCAAATAATGTTTGGCACATTATTCCATAAATATTACCTTTTTTTAATTACTTTTAAACCCCATAAGGTTATTAATTTCATCAAATACACCCTAAAAAAAAGTTTTAAAATTATCAAAAACACCCCCGTAACCCATACTTGCCAGATTCCGGCAACCACCGTCGATGGTAGCCGGAATCTGTACAACGGCCTACCTACCAACCATAAATGGCCGGAAGTTCACCGATCTGGCCGTGAATGACGGCCAAAGAAATGGCCGTCGTTGACCGAAAATGACGGCCAAAGATGGTAGTTGTTTTGGCCTTTTTGGCCGTCGACGGCCACGACATGCCGTAGATCTGGCCTTTTCCGGTCAGATCCGTGATGGATCTGGCCAGAAAAGACTATAACGACGCGTTACGACACAGATCCGACCGGTATGTGCCGTAATGCGATTTTCTGGCCAGATTCCGGTGGTGGTGGCCGGAATCTGGCACTGTAGGTGGTAGGGGTATTTTTGTCATTTTACATATTGGGGTATTTATTAAATTAGCAAACTTATGGGGTTTTTTTATAAATTTTTAAATTTTACCTAATAATACTCTCATATTCAATTATCCAATACTATCCCCAAAATCCTATCCAAAATAATAAACCAAACGCACCCCTAATGGTTCGTAAAAAAATCGCATTTTAAAAAATAGCGGATATTCACTATAAAAAATATTAAACACCCGATTTTACCATAACTATTTTTTAAACCAGCGAATGCACACACAAAAAAGCTACACACTCATGTTTTACTATTTAAAAAAAAAAAAAAAAAAACATTATTAACATTTAAAATTGTAATAATTAATCGAATATATGATTGTTTTAAGTGATCATAATTATTACATTAATCAAATATAATCATTGGTCTCATATAATTATTGGAAGAGATAACTGATATAACTATTTTATGAAAGCACAATCACCAAAAACTTCCATAGGATTTTTGGAAGCCCAAGTTAGACCCTAAATTGGGAAATTCCTATATTAGTATCTACACTAACATTTTATTGAATTCAAAAATATTGAGATTACAAAAATGTCCTTCAATAGTCATTATTTCTATACAAGTGCCTTTAATGAAAAAATTGCCCTTTAGTTTCACTTTAAATAAAATCAATACTATAATAAAATGTTTGGCTCTCAATAACAACGTAACTACTCAGTCGAACTTGATCGATATATGATTGGCTCAAACTTGACTCGATTACAATTGAGTCAAAATCGAGCTTGAGCTTGAGCTCTACTCAATTGTAATCGAGACAAATTATTAGTTATTTTAATTTATATATAAAATTAAAATATTATATAATAATCGAGCTAGAGTAAGCTCGCGGGTTGCTTGAGCCGAATATCATCAAATTCAAACTCAACTTAACTCGACACGTAAACTACTCGAGCCGAGCCGAACAACTCAAGAGCAGCTAAACTCGTTTGCGGGCCAAATTATGATGACCGTAGAGTCCAAGAATTATGTGAATCTGTTAAATACAATTCTTTATGTTTTGATGACACAAATATGTATGGATATCATTGGTTGTGGATGAACAAAATTCAAGATAGATATAAGTTGCATGAGTAAGATGGTCGGTAGCCCATAGGTGATGACAATGCATGATTATCAAAGAAGACACGTGTAGTTGACACGTGTAGTTCACCATATTTTCCCCCTTTTTTTAAATATTAATTTGTTTAAAATGTTTCTTATGCCTATCGACTAGCTTATGACTGCAACTCTATAGAACCTATCGGAGATGATTCACAATTTTTAAAAAATGAGGGAAGACCCTAGGTTCTTAAAATATCAAGGGTTCGATTAGATGTTTTGAGAATCTTGGGGAGGTAGTTGATAGTTGCCTACTAAAATACTTAAATATTCATATGTTGATATTCATTAATAGTATATAATTTAGGGGTGTTCAAAAGAACCAGTTAAAACCAGAACCGATGGGTACCCTGGGTTTGGTTCTGGTTCCTATCCAGAACTAGTCGTCAATGGGTATGTTCCGGTTCTAAATTTTTGGAACTAGAACCAGGAACCAGGAACCAGGAACCGAGACTAATATAAAATAAAATTAAAGATTAGGGGGTTAATAAAAACTTTTGTAGAAAAAGTAATGTGAATACATTTATATTTATATTTCATAACAATTAAAGTAAGTTGGTTTGACTTTTGAGAATCTACCTTTACAAAGTAATGGAGTTTGTAATTTTGAATTTATAATTTGTAATTTTATTTTTGTTAACAAGTGCCGGGTGGGGGGGTATTTGTAAGTTTTTAAGGGTTTTTTTACGATTTTAAAAACTTTTGGGAGGTCATGTAATTTTACAGGGTACCCAGAACAGGAACAGGAACCGTTGTTATAGGTTCTGGTTCTAAGTACCTAGGAACCGGAACCGTTGGTTTCGGTTCTGGTTCCTTCAAAAAGTGCAGGATACCCGGAACCGAACACCCCTAGTATATATCATATTATCATCGCTTAAACTTTGAACTTAAATACTCCTCCGTTCCTATATAAAAGATGTTTTAAGTTTGGACTTAAATACTCCCACCGTTCCTATATAAAAGACGTTTTAAGTTTGGGCACAAGTTTTAATTAAAAAAAAAATTAACGACAAAAAATGGAGAAAAGATAAGACAAAGATTAAAGAGAGACAGAGGAGATGTGGTCATAAATTAAAGTGGAGAAAGAACATGAGCGACTTTTATTTTGAAAAAATAAAACACCCTTAAAATGACTATTATTTAAAACAGAGGGAGTACAATATATGTTATAATCCAATAGATTTTTCTATTCACCTTGAAAGATGAAAAATATCAAATGCCTCTAGGATTTTACAAAACTATTACATACCTCCTTAATTTTTTAATTTTTTATAACTGGGATATCCAAGCTAGTTTGCACACGCTTCAACTAATCCTAAGGTTCATTGAAAAATGTGGTAGGTAGTCATTTTGTGCGGCTCAAACTAAAGACCTCTAACTAGCCCACCCAAATGACTAAAATCATACCTCCTTAAATCATTATTTACCTCTCGTGATTAGCATTTACCCCTCTAAAAATGTATCAAAAACGAATTTGACAAGGGGATATATAATACTTTTCAAAAACTATGGGCGGGAAAAAACGATGCTCCAATGCAATGAATATTACAAAGAAGTTACAGATGGTTTCTTGACAACCTTAATAATTTCTAAACCCATCGGATTGAAATAAATTAAAGGCTTAAAATTAATGCAAAAGATTTAAAGTTAGCATAACCAACCTTTCAAGAATAATTAACCTCAAGAGATATGTCTGACGGTTAAGGAGGTTTAATTTCTTTCTTGACTTCTTGGGTTCAAACTTTGGGGTTACGTATCACAATTACGTTGTAACTTACTTGGTTCTTTGGGTTTTAGGATGTTCAATAAAACCCAAGATTAGTTGAAGTGCACGCAAGTTCACTTGGACACACTGGCTACCTAAAAAAAAAGAACCTTTCAATAATTAATTTGAAATTTTCTAAATTGGTTAGCAATTAATTCTAATTCATCATTTTAAATTTCTTTAACTCCTTAAATTAATTTATAATTTTGTTACAAATAATTTACATCGGTATAATTATATTGTAAAACCTCTATATAGTCATAACTGTGGAATTAATTAATTTTATTACTACGAGGAGATTATAACTTAATAGAGATGTGGTAACAAAAATTTATTTATAATTTATATTTTAGTAGTACAGTATTAGGATTTTAATTGATGTTTTAATACTATTATAATTTTAATTCAACGCTTCAATTGCTTACTTTTGAAATGGATAGATGATCGTCTCTTGAAACCAACAAAGATAAGTGTTTATGATGGAATTGTAGATGTAGTTGCTGCATGGTCAAATTAATATGAAGCCACAAACTATTGCCAATTGTTTTAATCATTACAAAATTAGAATCCCCGATGTCGATGAATTGCAAGTTACAAATGGAGTGGATGTGAAGAATTAAAGAATCATTGTAGAATTAAATGATCAGATTCGACAACTTTATTACACTAATCAAATGAATATTAATGTATTTCTTAATCATTTAAATGAGCAATAAGTTATGTTTGTTTTAACTAAAGATAAAATCATTGCTACAATTAGACAAGAAGATAAAAGAAATAATAATGAGAATGATAGTACGAAAATACAAAAAGTTTTGTGTCAAAAAACTCTAAATATGCTTGAGAAACTAGAAATATTTGGTTTAAACAAGAAGATATGCATGCTATCGAGTAATCTACCCGCAAGTTAAAAGATGTAGTAACAATTTTGAAGCATAAATCATTACCTCAAACAACTTTTAATAAATATTTTATTTCATCTTAAATATTTAATGTAACATAACATATGTTTTTTTACAATATACAAATAATTATTACTATACAAAAACAACTTTTCTTAAGATGTGAATTAGAAAAATTATAATTTATTACAATGTAAAGTTAATTTTTATTTATAACTATCCTAAATTGAGAATATAATTTTTTATAATTATGTAGAGTTTATTTCTATATAAAGTATCATAAAAGTTTTACTGTATTTATATAAAAAAAATATATTTTAAATTAAAAAAATAAATTCATAAAAGCATGCAAGACCATTTTTTTAAGACTGAACACGTGTTAAATTTTGTGCACGAGCTCCACGTGCATAGGAGCTGACTAGAAACTCGGTACCTCGCTAGATCCGTCAAATTCACCAACCTAACTCTGGACGGAGACCTTCCGGATCCGAAACGAAACAAAACCCGATTTTTCGTCTTCATTTCGCAAGTAAACGCCAAAATTTGTACATACATGTATATAACGTCCGTGCCTTTCCCATACTCTGTGGCAGTTCACATTCATTTATTTATTTTCTTTTCATAAACCTTTCAACAAAAAGGTTTTTATTACTTCACGTCTCTCGAAAACTGAAACCCCATAATTGTATCCGGTTTGTTGGTTAATGAAACGGTGAAGATGGGTGTTGATCTCGAATCTTTATCGGAAGCAACTTCAGGTGCTATAGGATCACTGTTGAGCACAACGATTTTGTACCCGCTTGACACGTGTAAGACCAAGTACCAGGCTGAGGTCAAAGCTCACGGCCAGCAGAAATACAGGTTCTCCGTCTCAGTTTTCTTATTGTTTTGATATTGTTTTGTTGTTTCCTTATCTGGGTCTATGTTGTTTTTTATTTTAATATTTTGTTGTGATCTCTGTGTTCTATGTTTTGTTGTTTGTCTGATCTGCTGATTCGTGATCTTCTTATAAGTGTGGATGAGGGCAGCTACAATTTATGTTTTTGTAAATGTTCTTCATAAGTTATGTTTACCTTGTTCGTTATATCTAATTTGAAGGCAATATATTTTTCTGAATTGCACTGATTCTCTTGTGAATTTTCGGCTGTAATTTTTGGAAGAAAAAATGTTGAATCGATGACAAAATGGCTGCCTTCGTTGACCAAAACTCATATTTACAGTAAAATAATAATAGTTTAAAGGAAATCAGGCTAGGTCATGAGCTCAATGTGCTGGGGTTAACGACCTTAGTTGGTGTAGTTGTTGTAGCTGCGAGTGAACTGAAAATAGAACTACTAAAAATTGACTTTGCAGTCTTGGACATTAAGGACTTCTTTGAAATTGTTATTAGCGAGTGAGATAGACGATAGGTGTGGAGGTTGACATAATGCACTTGATTTTGCACTTATTGTGGGTTGGGAAAATTCCAGTTAGCCATTGTTATTATGCAATCCATGTTGTTGACTTGCTAACTGCATTGTTTGTTTCAATCTGTTAACTATAATGTTTATTTTCTCAATCACTAGTAATAAAAGGTTCACTTAGTTCAACTCAACTAAATGGATGATGGTTTGCCAAAGATTTATCTTTTAGATGGGATGAAATGTGCTCCTATGAGTTTCTATTATGATATATTTTCACAAATTCTATTAAATGATTCCTGTTTAAGGGATTTCCGGGCATAAATTAAAAAAAAAAAAAATTGTTTTATGATCTCCTGTGTGGAAGATAACCTTTAATCTTTAAGTTAAGGCCTTGTTACATATTTGACTTATAATTTACTTGATTTTGTTTTATCTTGGGTTATGTAGGAATCTCTCAGATGTTTTTTGGGAAGCAATATCTACTGGTCAGGTCGCTTCCTTATACCAGGGTCTAGGGACGAAAAACCTGCAGTCGTTTATGTCGCAGTTTGTCTACTTCTATGGTTACAGCTATTTCAAAAGATTATATGTGGAAAAGAGTGGTTCTAAATCAATTGGGACAAAAGCAAACTTGATTATTGCTGCTACTGCTGGGGCTTGCACTGCCATTTTGACTCAGGTGAGACATCGTTTAGCCAACTTTCTGCTTTTGTTTGAGAAACATTCTAATTTATGCAGTGAAATGTAGCACATGTTGCATATGTCCAGATTCCACAAAGTTTAAGTCGAGTGTTATGAATGAGCCTGTAATGGAGTTAGCTCCATTTTTTGCAGAATAAGATCCTCTGTCTTAGATGAATGGATTATAGAATTGAGCTGCCTTTTATGATGTTAAATAATGCTATCTTCTAATATATTATAGTTATGCATACTGTCCTATCATAATTTAGGTACATAGAAACAGAAAATGGAAAAATTAGTGCTTAATATGTAAAAATAAACGTTGTTATTTAACTTATTTTGACATGTGGGGAAAAGGAAAGAAGTTTTAGAATTTTATTTTCTGTGTCATTGAATTTATCTCTCTATCTTCTTGCAAGAACCCATAATGTGAGTTTTTTTAAAAAAAAAAAATCTTAAACTGACGTTTGACTACCTGTTTAATTATTGTTCAGCCCTTGGATACAGCCTCGTCAAGGATGCAGACAAGTGCCTTTGGAAAATCCAAAGGGCTCTTAAAGACACTATCAGAAGGTACTTGGAATGATGCTTTTGATGGCCTTGGCATCTCTCTTTTGCTAACCTCAAATCCTGCCATTCAGGTAAACAAACTGGTCTTTCACTTTATAACTAAAGAATGTATTGTCTCAAATTACAAGTCTCATCATACTTTATGTCATTAACATTTATTCCACTTGCAACATTTAATTCTAAGAAAATAGACTAGGCTAACACTATGTACTTTGCAGTATACAGTGTTCGATCAGCTGAAACGACGACTCTTGAAAGGAGAACAGAAGGGTTCATCTCCACTGGCCCTCTCTGCCTTCATGGCTTTTGCGCTAGGTGCTCTTTCAAAGAGCATTGCTACCGTTATAACATATCCTGCAATCAGGTACATATCTATTATCATCTCAAACTATCTCAGTTAATAGGTTGATATATAGAACAAACTGAGACCTTTACATCCGCACAGGTGTAAGGTAATGATTCAAGCTGCAGACTCAACAGATGATGGAACTAAGAAAACTCAGCCAAGATCCCGCAAAACATTGGCTGGAGTTATTTACGCTATCTGGAAAAGAGAAGGGCCTCTGGGCTTCTTCAAGGGATTGCATGCCCAGATCTTGAAGACTGTTCTGAGCTCGGCGTTGCTTTTGATGATCAAGGAGAAAATTAGTGCCGCCACCTGGGTTCTGATACTCGCAACCAGAAGGTATCTCTTACTGAGCAGGGGTAGATTGAAAAGTGCTTGATTGTGAGAACATTGTCCCATGTATATAACTATCGCCACAATAGAAGAAGAAACAAATTTATTTTAAAGCCGTGAGTCTAAATTCTTAGAGAGGAAGCTGAAATTAAGGCGAATAAATTCAGTTTTGGTTGGTCAGTTATCAAGAATTAAGCTGCTGCCAACCATCTTCTGTTGCATTTTCAGGACAGATGTTTCTGTAAGAGCAATAATGTGCCTAATAGTTGTACAATTTTATGATTTGTATTATTCATAACATATTATTTCAGAGATCAAGTTAAATTTATCATCTCCATTGGGATTGTTTTGCTTCTGAGATAGTTCATCAGTGAGCTTTTAAGCTTTGAGCCTGATCAGAAATGGCAAAATAACTTCAATAAGAAGCTTTTCTTCTGAGAGTTTAGATGACTCAACTGAAGTATTTGTGTTCATAAGCAAACCAAGTTGAATTTTCTTTCAATATTTTGTTGACAAGTATGTGGCAACCATATTACCAGGAATTCAAAAAATAATTAATTAATTTTTTTTGTTGAAAATTAAACACCTACCAAATAACATGAAAGTATTAACTAATATTTTTTTCTTGTAATAAACCAAAAATAATTTAATCAAAGAGTAATGCTTTGTTGGACACAATTTAATATTTTAAGTTTTATTTATTTTTTATAATTTTCAAACATGTTTTGTATAATATTAGGATGAAATTTATTAGAAATGATTGGTGGCTACTGTCGCAATTCGCATCGGTCCATGCCTTGAGTCAATTGGTGAACTGGTTTGTCATCGTTCCACATCCAACTAAGGCACATCGTCAACCCCCATCTGCTTCCCTTCCGACAATTTTAAGCACTCTTCGACTCTCTTTTTAAAGCATATTTCATCGTTCCCTCGTAGTACTTATTTGATATCAGTCTTTCTCTAGTATTTAGTTTTGAACGGAATTTACTATCTAGTTTAGACTGCATTCTCAAACAACCCGACTCGTAGCACCTCGTGGTGTGATAGGGTCCCATTAAAATAGTATTTTTTCAGATTTTAATTAAATGTGTTACATTATTATATCTAATAAATACTTTACTTAGTATTCATACTAATTAACATTAAAATAAAATATAAATCTCTTGAATTAATAAAATTTAAATAAAAATTTAAAATTTAACCAAAAAAAAAAAAAAAAAGATAACTCACAAAGTACATAAAGCCAAGCGCGTTCTACTGGAGACAAAAAGACAGAGAGAGATCAGCTGAAGCAGAGAAGAGAAACAATTTAACGAAAAAGAAGAAGAAAATAAAAGGACTGAGAAGATGATGTCCGGAGGATACACAAGCATTGATAATCCGAAACTCTCTGGATCCGTTCCGGTAAGTATTCACAATATTCACATCTCTGTTTATTTTTATCTTTTTTATATAAACTTAGCAGATCTCACTACGTGCTTTGGTTTAATTTCGCAGGCGGTTCCAGATCAGGGCCACGTCACCGTCAAATTTTCAGGTAATTAATTCATTTTTGAATTAAATTTTCATCTTATGTGTTTGTCTTTGTAGATCAAATGTCTGTCAAGAAACGTGATTAGAATTGAGAATCGAGTGGTTTGATTTCGTATAGTAGATTGAATCATGAGAACTTTGTTCATTGAAAGTATAGGATGCTTGGATGTTGAGAAACTGTCTGTGAAGAATTGTGTAGGTTGATTTGTTGTTGCAGGCTGAGCTGAACGTGAGAATTTGAGGTTCTTGTTCAATTTCTCAGCAATTTGTTTCTGTTGATGGGAATTGTAGGTTTTTGTTTGGTTGCTTAGATAGTGTAGCAAAAAAATGAGCAATTGGGATTAAAGAATTTTGAATCTTGAGAATTGAGAATGGACTTATTGTGTTAGGCTTAGCTGAGAGATAGTTCGACATATTTTTTTGAAGCAATTTTTTGACCTTTTTGTAGTTTGATAGGTTTGTGTTTGGTTGCTTTCTGAATATAAGACTTCATTTGAGCTTGATACATGATTTGGCCTAAGGTTCATGTTTTTCCATTATTGTCATTGTTGTTAATGATATGTATTTGAGTATTGAATTGGTGAATTATCATTGCAGAGTCAAATCTACAGACATTTCCACCTTCTGAAGCACAGGGAAAGATTTCCATTGCTGCTGGTCCTCCTCGTGATGCTGATGGTATTGCCAGCTTTGAGTTTTTTATGATTAAATATTTAGATATGTTAGTTATTGATATTGGTAAGAGTTATATTATCAGATCTGAGATCTATTTTTATTTAAATATTTGAGTAGACATGAAATTAATGAACTTAGATGGTTGAGTTTTACCAGGGAAGTATTGATGGATCCCAACTTATGTTAATGTTTATCAATCTGATTGAATTTTCATTGAATTACATCTGTTATCCTTTTGTGTCTAATAGTTTCAAATTGATGCAGATACATTTTCAAAATCTGGTTCTGGTGCTGGTTCTAGCTCTGGCTCTGATGAATCCCAGCCTAGTGGTTGGTTACGGCCGTTCTCACTTGCTACTTACAAGCCATACTTTGATATTGACACTGCAGATGTTTTAGACAGGATTAAGGACTCACTTTTTCCCTTCAGAGATAGCTTTAATGAAAAAACAGCTAGTAACCCTGACTTGTAAGTTGTCTTCCTGTTAGTCATTTGTTTAATGGATTTATTTTACTAAAATATTATGTGTTGAATACAAATACCGTCTTAGTGGAAAACTTTTAATCATGATATTCTTATAGATTTTGCCATGAGCATACCACAGACTGTTGGAGCAGAAAGAACAAAAATGGAATAACTTGGCACTGTGCTGGCAAATCTGTTTTAGCTGGGTTGTTTAGAGTGAACTACAATGCTTACCTGATGGGTATATAAGGTCTCTTAGGTGATATTCATTGATTCTGACATAGAAGAGTAGATCTGAAAGAAATTAAGCATCTACCAATTTTTTTAGATTGTAAGCAAGATACAGGCTAATTTATTACCTGATGTAAGTTTGGAAATTATGAGGATCTTCCACATAGTTACAGCTTATAACTGGGAACCACTAAGACTACTAGTCTATCTTTGCTTGTGCTAATTTTATTAACTGCCATACAGTTTATTTTACCCTTTGTCAGTGTTATGCCAAGCATTTATCAACACTGGTCTAATTTCAGTTGTTACATTTGTATTAGCAAGCTACATATATTTCTAGCATATTGTGTGAAAAAAAATTATTTGGCTCATTTATCTTCTTCATTCTCTCCTTCATGAGTAAAATAGTTTGTGATCTTCAGCTCATATGCTGTGCAGGTATGGACCATTCTGGATTTGCACCACCCTCATATTTGTAGCAGCTTCTATTGGCACTTTCGTGACGTACATAGCACACAAGCTGAAGAATAAAGAATGGGAGTATGACATAAACCTAGTGACTTGGTCTGCTGGCTTGTTCTATGGCTATGTCACCATTGTTCCTCTTGGGCTATATGTTATCCTTAAATACTTCTCAGCACCATCAGGCCTTGTTCCGCTGTTTTGTCTTTATGGCTATTCACTATTTGTCTTTATTCCTGCACTGGTGAGTTCTTTATTTTTCAAATATTGCCTTTGAATCATTTATAGCTATTTCAGTCCTTTCCTTCTGTTTTCTTTTATTTTAAAGTCCTTCCCTGACTTCAAAGAATTTCTGCTGAGCATATTTCATGTTTTCCAAAAGCTAGAGGAAACAATATTAAGCTCTAAGGTCAAAATTCCCATATGTGTATTAATATAATCTAGACAATGTATTTAACGAATTGATATTGGTGGTGATATTGCATGGTTTAATTGTGTTATATTCAAGGTAAACAAAAGAAAATGTTAAATCAGAATAAAGTGAGCCCGACCTCTATGGTTACAAGTTCAGTGTTTTGCGTTGTATGAGTCCCATCTGAAAAATGTAAGGTGTGAATGACTAGAAGGGATTTCTTGACTGGCCATTCAATATCAATCTTTGAATATAAAAGTTATATGACAATTCCCATCTGAAAAATGTAATATACCAAGCACTTGATGAACTCTGGAAACAGGCTCCAACTGCTAAAGCTTAATCTTTTTTTCTTTTTTCTTTTTTCTTTTTTGTGGTTGCAGTGTCTCTCAGTTGTGCCCTTGGAGATTTTCAGATGGGTAGTTGCCGGTGTGGCTGGGTTCATGTCGGCAACTTTTGTGGCACTTAATCTCCGAGCCCACATTAAGTCTGCGGGAGAAAGGTGGTTCTTGATAGTAGCGGGGATCTTCCTGTTGCAATTGGCTCTGTCTGTCGCCTTAAAGCTGTATTTGTTCACCGTCACAGTATAGAGATATGAGCACTCACAATATTTCTTCACTTCACAGCATAAGAGTAAACTGTTCTTTCAATACGGAGGCATGAACGGGTTATACATCATAAAGAAAAAGTTTCTGGTCCTTCAGCTTCCAAGGTCTCAGGCTTTAACCCAACATTATACCCCAATTAAATCCTTGTGTATTCATTCATTTCCGGAATATAAATTTGAGCGTAAGATTTTCTTTGCTTCTTTCCATTCTCGTTGCAAGTCAGTTGAGTGTACATCGTCGATAAGATGTCATTTTCAGTTTGATTATTATTTTGATTGTAAGTTTTAGGTCAATAATTCTCGAAATAGAGACGTCTGAAGAGCATATATAGAATAATTGCAAATGGACTTGAAAAATCGTGTTACATAAGGTTTGTTCTAAAGTCAAACATGTGGGCATTTAGTCTCTTATTGGGGCCTTTAATTTCCAAAATCATACTTATACATTTCAAACATAATTATCACATTTTGGAAGATTAAAATAGGATCTTGGTTTGCTATTTTTCATGGGAGACTTTTTAAGTTTTCCAAATTAATGGTTTGGTTGACAATTGAATCATGGATGCCTTTTTGCATTATTAAATGGACCCTCAAAGTTTAAAAACTTTTATCATAGATACCCTTTTGCATATCACTTTCTTATAGGACCAAAGTTATTATTTTATCTCAACAATGTTTTATAAGATCAAAGTGACCACTTTACTTGTCTATTACAAATGATAATGTAACGAAGTTAGGGCATAAGGGTATCCATGATACAATTTTGAAATTCTGAGAGTTGATCAAAAGTGCGAAAGTTGTCGTCTGATGTCATCCGAATGATAAGTTTGTAAACATTAATGGGGTAGAATAGAATAGGAAATTATGTATAGATAGATGTGTGATCAAGTAAGACGAAACCAGATCATAGAAAAAATTATTAAAAAAAAAAAGAAATGCAATGTCAGACTCAGAGCCAGTCCAAGAGAA